GGTGGGGGCATGGTGTTTGGGATGGGAATAAATGATATAGGAGTGAATGGAAAAGGGAGTTTTAGTCTCACCATCTTCTGCGCATGCTGGTAGTCGGTGTTTGGACTTGGCCAAGGCCAACTGTCCTGCATACCACCCTGATGATGCCTTTTGGAGATGCACCCCACATGACACCTAAGGGAGTTGCAGATTGGACACTGGGGTGGGGTCGTTGGAAGAAGGAATCTGGGTTATCATTTGATATGTATTTGTTCGCGCCTTCCTGGCTCAGATCTTGCTTTACTTTCACTGCTATCTTTTCATAACCAGTAAAAGTATTTTAATTCCACGAACAATGGAGTTAGGAGTTTTCTTTCTTGGTTATTGAGGGAGGCATACCTGACATTAAGCAAGATCTGACCTTGCACCCATCCTGGAGTTAAAGCTCCCCTGGGGGGAGCACCCCAATGTCTAACCCCTGCAGCAAGCAGGAGAAGACAATGACAAGGGTCACAACCAGGCGAAAACCAGAGGATGACTGGCAGGCAGGTGAAAGAGAGGATCTCATGATGACCCATGCTTTACACCTTCTTCAGGAGGCTTGGGAACGACAACGCATCAATGTAAGTCTTGCTGAAAGGGAGAGTGGATTAGCAGAGCAGGCAGAGGGGGGGAGCAGAAGACCTGGTTAGCCCCGAAAAGTCCCTAAGAACAGCTACCGGAGCTGGGAAAGAGGGAGGGGCCCCAGCCACAGCAGTTCAAACTCCCCCGAGGGGGGAAACCCCCCAAAGGCACCAAATGCCTCAGATTCCTCCACTTGGAATGAAGTACAGAGGAGATCCCAAAGAACTGGGGGTTTTTTTTACTGCAAATTTGGGATTACATGCAAGAGTATGGGGGGATTTCTCATCGGAAGTTGCCAAAGTGAGAAGTGTTACTATGGCTTTGGAAGGCAAAGCAGCTGCCTTGCATAATGATGATTTCCCCCTGCTGAGGGATTACAAGGGGTTTATGACTGCCCTGAGGAAAAGCTTTGATGACCCCCTCCTAAATAAAAAGGCGAAAAGCAGGATGAAACCCTTAACCCAGGAGGGGAGGCCTTAGGCTGAGTACACACAGGAGTTTCGTGAGCTCTTTGTGCATAGGGGAGGTCCAAGGAGGCACCAAAAGCAGGAAAGGAGGGGCAATGGGAGCCCAACTGCTACGCTAGACATGTCCCAAAACTGACCCTGGCTGGTAGGGAGGAACCTGGCTGGCAGCTAGGGAGACGCTGTGAATCTGCCCTGGAAGGCGTGGAAGGTGCTGATGTCCTCCTTCCTCCAGGCCAGGAGGAGAAGGAACCATCCTCTTCCATGGGAGAAAGTGAAACTGATTCAGATGACCACTTGGTGAGTCCCCGATTGGGCCCCATGACCATCCCAGAATTAAAAGTGCCATCATCTGGAGCACAGGGGAAAATGCTGGCCCTTTTAGACTCTGGATGCACCCAATGTGTAATCAGTCCGGAGGTGGTAGAGAAAATGGGTTTAAGACTGAGAACTTTGAAAATGCCCATTACCTTTTGCCAGAGTGATGGGTCAATCGCTGGGGGTGCCCCTGCCCATTTTGTAACTGAACCAATAGAAATGTGGATGGGGGATTACCAAGAAACCTTGAGTTTCATCATGGCACCTGGGATGGATCGGCCACTCATACTGGGATTACCGTGTCTACGGAAATGGAACCCTTATGTGAACTGGAGGAAAGGGTGGTTGCGCATTCATTCCGCTAAACCCCCTGAGGGAAAGAGGAGGACATCCCACATAGCCAATGCCAAAACTAATCTAGCTGCCGCAGTGCAGGAAAAGATTAAAGAGAAAATCCCCAAAGAATATTGGGACCTCAGGGAGGTTTTCAGTGAAAGGGCCTCTGAAAAATAACCCCCCTCCACCGTGCCACTGATTGCAGCATTGAAATCCTCCCAGGGGAAAAACTCCCTAAGCCCCAGATTTATGCCAAATTGTCTAAGTGTGAATTTCACCAGGAGAGGATCAATTATTTGGGATACCGTATCTCCCACAAAGGTATCGAGATGGACCCAGCAAAAGTCCGGGCTATCACTGAGTGGGCACCTTCTCGCACCCGCAAGCAACTACAAAGTTTTTTGGGATTTGCAAATTTCTATCGCCAATTTATGCCCCACACCAAATACATCTTGATATGTATTTGTTCGCGCCTTCCTGGCTCAGATCTTGCTTTACTTTCGCTGCTATCTTTTCATAACCAGTAAAAGTATTTTAATTCCACGAACAATGGAGTTAGGAGTTTTNACAAAGGAAGGACTTCCTATATTAGTTCAATCTATTCCATATAACTGAAGCAAATTACAGACTGACATGCCAAAAATCCTCAACACTGTAGGTCTTCCAACAACCTAAAACAGCAAAAGTTTGAAGCACTTCCTGTTTACTTAAATCTTTCAGAGTGGCATCAAAACCATGGAGTTCCAAGATCAGTTGACAAGAGAAAAGAGAAAAAAGAAAAAAAGGAAGCATCTAAGTGACCCAGCTGGAGGGTGGGGTGGGGGGAATTAAACCAGATAATTAGCTCCCCTAACAAGATCATATATTCTTTGATCAATCTGGCTTCTCCTTCTTTCAAAGAAATCCAGTTCTTTGTAACATATATATTCTCTAAGCAATAATTTCCAGTTCTTCTAAAACAGCCTTCTCTAAATTAGTGTCCTCCAGATTTGATTATGGTACAATTCCCATCTAATTCTGAATGGCCAAGTTGGCTAGGATGATAAGAGCCTTAGGCCAATACATTTGGAGGGCACCAGCTTGGACAATGCTGCTTCATGAGTAGAAAAGCCCAATCAAGAGTTGCTCAAGAAATCAGTCAGTGACTTCTCTACAAAACTAGAGATCTTTAAAGAACTACAACTTTTCTTCATTCCTGGGCTGATACTTCTTTTCATGGAAAGAGCTGACAAAGTTCCAGGGTTTTCCACAGGCAGAAATCCTAAAAAGTGTTTTCCCCCCAGGGGGAGGGGGAACATGCCAATTATGGTAATCCTAGGGATTGCCCAGGAATCAGCAATGTTGGGAAAAGATGGTTAATTCAGTCTAAGGGGTCCAGAACTGAGAATTTATTGGGCAAGGGCCAGGGTAAGGGAAAGAAGGAAAGAAGAGAGCTGAACCCCTGCCAAAGGCTGAAAGAGAAGCTGAACACTCCATCCAGAATAGGAAACAGAAGCTGCACAAGGGGGAAGAGGGAGGAGCAGCATTCACAGGAAGTAGTCCGCAGCAGGCTTCTTAGATGGGATGCCTCGGGTTTCTTGAGGGGCTGCTTCAAAGATGATAAATTCCTTCTGAAGGTGTTCATCCAGTTCCAAGATGGCTGCAACATTACCACAGCTGTGGTTGGAAGAGAGAAAAGGGGTCAAATTTGTGTGCTTCAGGTTTCATCAATGCCACACATCCCTGGACAACACTCAGCTGATTTCAATCTCCCTCTCCCCATCCCACAATTCTTCCTATTCACAGGCATACCCTTGCGTTTCTCACCGGTAGCAATAGTTGGGGGCTGACCACACTGTAAGAACTGTCTCATTGAAATGCCATTTGTATCCCTCCATGACCAGCTGATGTGCCCGGCAAATCATGTCGATATCATTTGCTGCGTTGAACTGTGCCACCACATCACTGCCAAATAAATAGCCAGCACCTCGAGGACTGACCCCCCAGCCTGTAGTGTCTAGAATAGCAAAAGAGGAGAATGTCTACACAAGGAAACCAAATGGCAGGCAAATGCTAGGAAAAGGAAACATCTGGGCTTACAAGCTAATAGAAGAAAGCCAATCAGCTGACAGACAAAAAACCCTCACAACACCACCCATATATTCTATTATACAATGCTGTTCTTTTTCCCATTTAAAAATTTTCTAAAACAGTAATTCTGGGAGTGGGAAAGAAATGGAATGCGAAAACATCTATCTTTAGTGGAAGACTTAAAAGAGCTTTACTATTCATTTGATTTGCTTATTACTACAAATCCATGCAAGATTTATTATATATGTCTTCTGCAGTGTAGGGGCACGATGGCTCAGCAGTTATAGATGCTGAGCTTGTCATCTGGGAAGCTGACAGCCCAGGTTTGAGACCTGAGCGCCACATGATGGGGT